GGATGATCTGCCCGAGAGACTGAAAATGCAAACAAAGGATAGAAATTACAAGTCCATGACCAAATGAGCTCAACAGGGCTGCCTGTGATGTCATGTAGTGGTAGTTTTCAAGTTAAGATCTAACTTTTACTTTTAGTTCAGTAGAGATTAGAAATTCCAGGACTGAAATTATCCAAATGATTTTCATGAAGGTGTGTGGAGTTTAAAAACACAATGGAGCACTTCTTGAATTATCACATGGTGGAACAGAGTGTTTTCTGTTTGAGAGAAGAACTCAAAACTGATCTGGTTCTGGGAGTAAACAGTCCATTGATTTTTACCCGTAGACTTTTCAAAAAAAATAAAATATTAGGATTTCAAAGCAGTAGCGTTGGGTGACTTTCTGGGTATGCAAGCAGACTTGGGATTGACATTAATATTTAGCCGATAACAATTTAATAACACCACTTTTTATGCAGACCACATGGCAAATTAATATTTATTTTACGGACATTTCAAGATGGATATATACTGAGCCAGTAAACCAGGGGTGTCCAAACTTTTTTCATCAAGGGCCACAGATCTAAACACAGACGAAGCAGAGGGCTGATCGAGGGCCACAGACTGGTGCTCAGTACAGTGAATAATTGAAATATGTTAGAATGAGCCATCAGTCTTTATTCATCCTTTAAAACACACACTAAATATTAAATATTGGCTTTATCCAGGTAGATTTTCAAAAAACTTGCAATAAAAAGTAAATTTTTCATTGATGCAAGTTAATTTGGGCCAATTCTCCTGGAAGCCTGAGGGCCAAGAAAAATTTGTCTGAGGGCCGCATTTGGCCCACGGACCATAGTTTGGACATGTCTGCAGTAAACTTTATACAGAGAAACACTAGAGAGCCCTACATAGGTTGTTAATATTTGCATATTCAAATCACAGAGACTAAGCAGCTACATGATGATTAAGAACAATAACACGGTTGTTTTAAGATCAAAAAGTTTAACACATAAGATTCTTCTAAATGTTTGAATAACTTAACCATTTATAAAGTTTCAGAAATAGACCTGAAATAAAATTATAGATCTTGTGGACATTAACAAGCAAGCAAACCTTTATTTTATTTTGTGTTTATTAAAGAAATTTACTTATAGCATCAGGAGGTGGGTGGTCACTGTTGAGCTCCACTGAATGTTACTTGTTTATTTAAACTGTATGTGAAGTATATATGTCAAGTATGTTTGTCAAGCTACACTGAATAAACAAATGAAAACTGAAATTGATCTTAAACCTTAAAATCTGCAGTGTGATGGAAAAACTCAGATCAGATTCCCTCATTTGATTTCCTGGGTTTGAGTTTATTTGTTTGTTTGTTACAACTTAGAAGTTACTGTGGTTTCCTCTTAATTTAACCACAAGAGATAGATTCGCTCATAGAATTCTCGTGCGTCTTTTTTGTGGGATGTCAGTAAAAGTAAAAGTGAGCTGCAGATTAAGTTTGTCTTTGTTTGTGTGGTTTTAATAACAGAGAAAAACCTCCAAGAAGAATGAACCAATCTGATGAATAAATGTTATGGTGTATGCTTGATTTGAATGTGGTTTTCCTCAGATAGTTCTGTGATCTTAGTTGCGTTTCTGGTTCTGTCTTCGTCATCTTCTGGCTGAGGAGGAAGAGTCTTTCTCAGAACAAGAAGTGGCATTGTCCAAGCTGCACCTAATTTGGATTAAAGGTCCTATATTTTGGCTAAATTGACTCTTTGGAACTTTAGGTCATGTTAAAATGTCGTTACCCCATCAAAAACAGACCAGGAGTTGTTTTGTTTCATTCACACATGTTTGAGTAAAGCTGCATTATTAGTCTGTTTACATCTCCAAAGCTCCAAAGCAAATTAGCAACTAACTTTTACCATTTTTTTTTAGTAGAGATTGGCAATTCCATGGCTGAAATCATCCAAATGATTCTAATGAAAGTGTATGGAGTTTAAAAAAAACAGTGGAGCACTTTCTGTATTACCTAGGGTGACCAGATTTTCAAAAGTGAAAACTGGGACACAACCCGGGTTAGGATGTTTGGTGTAAGTAAAATTGTAAAAGAAGCATGTAACATTGTCCATTCTCGACTCACTTGTGGGTCAGTATAAAATCTAAGGGATGTTTGTTGGTGCATTTTTTCGCTTTATGATTTTTCAAGCACAGTTTTCTGTATTTTAGCTAAACAAATGACAATATATCCTTCTCTTTACTGTTGGTGTGGATCAGATTGGTCAAAAACAGGGAAAACTGGGAAATTTCTTGTATAAACTGAGACAAATCACTGTTTTTGGATAAATCTGCTGGGACATGGGACACAGGACTCTAAACTGGGACTGTGGTCACCTGGTATTTCCACATTACATCACTAACTGTGTTGTCTGTTTGAGAGAAGAACTCAGCCTAAATATGTAGAGTCTCTGTGCTAAACATGCATGAATGAAACACAACTCCAGGTATGTTTTTGATGAGGAAACAACATTATAACCTAAATCAGAATATCTGTGATCTAATAATAAAGGATTGGCGTCACAAGGACCTGATTTTTGTCTCCTAGATTAGATTTAGCATCCACTCTAAATTTCTGTATTTCCATGTCCAAGACTTATATCAGTATATCTCAAATCTAATAAGTAATACCGGGTTTATGTTTTCATTCGTGAGACAACAGCGACACCTATTGGCTGATCATGTAAGCTCCAATTCATGCAATACATCTTCTGTACAAATGAAACAGTGGTCAGGTATTAAATGTACAATTTATTACAGTTTTATTGGCATGTCTTATCGTTTTATTACAAAATTTTACCGCAGAAACTCGCTAAACAGTGAGCTACCAGACTGTGTGGAGGCGGAACCTTTTGTGGGGAAACATTATCGCGACGGACACGATTGTTGCCGAACGAACTGAAGCTTTGGTGAGTGTTTACTGCTTTTAAACAAGCACATTTACGTTTAATCAAGTGATGTGATGTCAGACATGCCTCGTATTTAGTGCTAAGGGTGTGCGCCTTGTGTCCAGTTGCTCGAGTGCAAAGATCATGATGAATAATGTGATTAAAATAGCCAGACAGCTTGCGTTAGCCACGTTAGCATCAGAGCGGCTAATGACAGCAAAACATCAACTTCCTCTTTCAATACACCTTCACACGGCTGCGGTTTATTCCTTTCTTTTCTTTCCGTCGTGTTCTCCTTTCTATTCGACACTTGTTTAATGTCACGTTGTCGTTCTTTGCGGTTATTTTTGTAACTTTGCTTAATAAAGCTAATTGTGGCACTTGTCTCGCCTGGAGCCCCGCGTCCGCACGAGAACAACACTACGTCATGTGTCAGATTTTGGAAACTCTCGTTCACTTAAGGCTCATTTACAGTGATAATAAAGGAAAACAACAAGTATCTCTGCCACATTTTTCTCCTGCTAAGTGAATGAGACCGGATTTAAAAGTTGGGATACGATGTTGTTTATAACCAGCTGTCGAAGAGGTTTAGAAATGTGTTAGTAGTATTTCAGATCAGTGCTTCAGTCATTTATTAAGAGTCATTTGATCAAACTAAATCAAACCTGACACGTGATTTGGTGCGATAACCCAGAGCAAAGGCTACAGCCCCGTGAAAATGCTGATGACTCATTCCCCAGATCTACAAATGAGGAAACTGTTTTGAACTATTGTGCATCACTGAATAACCAGTGTTGGGAAGGTGACTTTTAAAATGTATTTCCCTACAGATTACAAACCCCAAAATGTAGTTTGTAACGTAATCCATTAAATTACTTAAAGTGAGTAACGTAATCTGAATACTTGATTTGCTGTAGAGAAGCAAAGACGAGGAAATCTTCACATAAGATGTTTTGTCTGTTAAAAGAAAATAAAAAGCCCAGACTTTACTGAACCGTATTAAAAATATTATTGATAGAAGAGGAGAAGACATGGTCCACGCATCATGGTTTAGTCCTGTTAAATCCTGGTTTAGACCTGGTTTAGACCTGGTTTAAATCCTAATTTAGTCCTGGTTTAGACCTGGTTTAGACCTGGTTTTAGTCCTTTTTAGACATGGTTTAGTCCTGGTTTAGACCTGGTTTAAATCCTAACCTGGTTTAGACCTGGTTTAGACCTGGTTTGGACCTGGTTTAGCACTGGTTTGGACCTGGGTTTAGACCTGGTTTAGTGTGCGCCAATGAGTGGAATTACCAAAAAAAACAAAAAACAAAAAAAGGAATAGCCCAAAATGTGAAAACCGTAAAATACCGCCGTGTAATCCATTTATTTCAACAAAGTAAATGTAATTCAATTACCACTCACTGAAACAGTAACTGTAACTGAATACAGTTACTCATAATTTGTACTCTGATTACGTAACTCCGGTACATGTAATCCGTTACTCCCCAACACTGTGAATAACCCACTGACTCGAGTAAATGCAGCTGGGAGCCTGTCACTGTTACTCATATATTTCTTGATACACATATTAAATGTTATTCAGCTGTAAATTAGGTTTGTATAAGATAAAAGATCTTTGGATTGTGCTGTCACATCTCAGATCATTTTACCTTAATGTCACACCAGTGGAGTTTGGAGACGCTCAATACTAAACAGTGTTCATTCATGTGATATTTACCAGTGTTTACCAGTGTCTTATTGGGACGTTCCACAGCTTGTTTGTTTACTTGTTTGTTTAATTGCTTTTATTGCTTCTATTGTGTCACTATGGACATTTGTCACATGGCCAGTGACGCTTTCTGCCAGAAACACACAATTTATGAGGTTGTCTTCCAAACCTTTAAAATTAAATATCTTATAGCTTTTGAGAAAATGGTTATTACACAGAAGTAGCAGTTTTAAATATTATTTGAGTATGAGAATAGTGAGAAGTACAATGCAAAATTAACTTAATTTGCATTACTTTTACCTTGTGTTTTAATCCTCCATTGCTCTCGTCACATTTACATTTATTCTGTGATGTTTTTCTTTTTGCCAGTATTTCCTGTGTTTAATCCACACATCTTTCTCTCGCTCTGTCAGCTGCAGGTGGAGGGATGAGTCTCTCCCCTGTGATTGGCACAGAGGTGCCAGAAACAGCCAATGGGGTCCTGACTTCAGCAGAGAACGGACCCCACTCTACGGTGAAGAGTCCAGGTCCTGCTTTAAACAAACCCACGTGTCCAGAGGAGCGAGACACAGATGAGGATATAAGACAGACTGACAATGGAGCTGTTATGTCAAACAATGAACAGACTGTGTGTAATAATGAACTATCAGGTGGAAAAAGTGGAGTGGACCTACAGACTGCAGACGTAACCCAAAGAACGGCAAGTTTAACTCTGAACTCAAGTGTAAATGAGGCCACAGACACAGCAGAGCCTGGTGGAGGAGGCCCAGAGAGGTGCAGAGATGGAGCAGAAGAGGAGGACGAGGACGAGGAGGAAGAGGAGGAAGGAGAGAAGGAGAAACAGGATGAAGAGGAAGACGAGAAGAAGTGGAGGAACCAGCACACGTCAGGGAGGACACAGGGCCAGGTATGACACAGCAGAATACATTTTATCTGGAGTTTGATCTTTTCTCTGGATTATTAACTGGAGTTTTGTCCAGCCCAGTTCAAATCAAATCTTGTGACTGTTACTATTTACCTATTGTCTATTTAAAAACTTTATTCACTAGCAAAGATCACGCCACAACAATGGAATAAGATAAGATATTTATTGACAGTGGATAGATTTGATGGCGGGGGGGAGACGTAGCAGTGGAGGCTCCGTCTCCAATCCAAAAATGGTCACCCAGCTGATTTGGAACTCTCCTCCTTTTCGGGCTGAAGGATGAACGAGAGACACGGGGTGGGAGGGAGGGGGTCGAGAGCTGACACAGACGGTGATGTCGAGATACGTCGTATAAATAAGGCTTCTGGGTAATTGAAGGCGTGGTTGAGATAAGCCGTGGTTGGCTGGAGAGGAGGTTGAGGCGTGGTCCAGCTCTTGAACCTCAGTTAATCATATTAACTTCACAAACAGTGTCACAGACAGGTGCTTTCTTCAGTCAGAATTTTGTTTAGTAAAATCTATAATATTTTGAAATTTGCATTTAAAGGTACAGTGTGTAAAATTCTGAAGGTGGCACCTACATAATTTCATGGAAATTAAAAATTTAAGCCATATTTTGGAACATTCTCTATGGAGATAGGTTGGTTTTATGCCATACCGTGATAGATTATAGCCAAAGGAACAACATTCAAGGAAACAAGAAACTTTTCTGTGCAATAAAAACAATGAAAATTAAATGAAAAAAAAAAAAAAATCTCTTTAATCTCTCTCTTAAAAATTACATGTTGTAGCTTCTCATACAGAAACCACTTCGTCCACCTTGTGATGTCATGTGGTAATACAGGAAGTTCTCCACTGTGTCTTTAAACTCCATACACCTTCATTCCTTCATTGGTTTTAAGATGATTATGATTTAAGATGATGATTTCAGTCCTGGAATTGCCAATCTCTACTGAACAAAAAGGTAAAATGTAGCTGTTAACTTGAAAACTACCACTACATGACATCACAAGGTGGAAGAGAGCATTTTGAGCTTTGGAGATGTGAACAGATTAATAATACAGGATTTCTCAAACACGTGTGAATGAAACAAAACATTCTAACGTGGCTTAAAGTTCACAAAAGTCAATTTTGCTTAATATATGACCTTTAATCAATAATCACAGTGTAATTAACTAAACTGATCCTTTTATCTTTTTTAATCTGCTTCCCCAGTTCCGGCCGACTCACCAGTTCTCCTCCTCTGCACCCGGTCCGAGCTCCGCCTCCTGCCCCTCCCCGCCCCCTCTGGTGCCCTCGGAGGAGCCCCCCTGCCCCCCTCACGTCATGGCCGAGGTGTGGGTGAGGAACGTGAGGGGCATGCAGGACAGTAAGAGCCTGGACGAGATCAGCCAGGCCTACGGAGGTAAAGCTCTCTTCCACAGCACAGCGTGGGGCGGGCGTGTTTTTGTTGATCTCAGGCTTTTGTGTATTGGATTTGGAAAATATTGCAGCACACAGCAGCAGTCACGAGATGGGAGGGTGGGATCAGCGTATTTTTAGTCTAGCAAGAAGTTCTGTCATCTTTTACAGATCTGTTAGGATTGGGGGCACTTTTTTTGGCTTGATAAACGTGGACTCAATTTAAACTTAATCATTATTTAACGACAAAGGATTTTATTTTATTTTTTTACAAGCATTTATTGTTGTTGTTATTATTGTTGTAATGTTTAAGTGTTAGATGTTCAGTCTATTTTTTCATTTTGGCTGCACTGAAACAGAGCACAGAACAAAACAAAGCATTTAAACAAAACATAAGAGCCTTTATTTATTCTAACACTCCACAAAAACACTTTTTTTTGGTTGCATGTTCTAGATTTTTTTTTTTTTTTTGTGAATTTTTACAGCACAGATACAAAACCGTGCGAGATACAAGAGACACTGAGATCCAGCTAAGATCCGGCCCAGATGCATTATGACTAAGGAGTTCAGTTCATTTCCTCAGTTAAACGTGCTCTGTGTAGCTGTTTGGCCGAGAGCCAACACCTGCTTGTCTCCATAGAGATTTTACTGTTTTGCCTGGAATGTTCCACAGTGTGGCATCTAGGTCTGAGTAGTTAATTGAATTGTAATCGAGCTTGTGATTCAGTCATGTCTAATCGTCAATTATATGGTAGCTTTTTTTTTTTTTTTATATCAAGAGGTCTACAGCCAAACTTCTGTTAGGAAAAGCACGTGGTTTGAGAGTTTTTACTTTGTAAATTTGGCTATTTTTGTGTTGAAGGGCAAAAATTACAAGTCTGTATCATTTACAAAACATTTTCGTGCAAAGTTCAGAATTTATTGATCGGATTTTTACATTTGTGGAAGCGAACGTGGAAAGTCAAGTACGTAACATTTTTGTATGTGTTTATGTTTTATTAAAGAGATGCCAGATCTGTGGAGAGGCGACCCAGCTCATAGTGACAGGAATCTTTCAAGGCACTTTTTTAGCAGTAAATTGAATTTGAACACAAATTTAATACCAGGCTGCAGAGCATCTTTGGAGACAAGCCTGAGTCGTACCTTTTAAAACCATAAAAGTTGCGCACTCCTCATTTAATGGCTTATAAAAACAGGAGTGACTCTGTTTCCGTGCATACCCAGTCCTGATGGTGCTTTGGTGTGTAGGTTCAGGGGCTCGAGGAGGAGGCAGAGCAGGGCAATCTGAAGGCAGGAGAGCCACCATCTCCTCTGCTCTGGAGCTGGAGGGAACAGTCAGTCATGAGGGAGACTTAACCAACTTCATCACAAAGAACCTAGAGCAGAAGATCAAGATGAGCTCCAAACCCAGCCTGGACTGCAGCGACTGTGAGTACTAGTGGAGTACGAGCTGTGGTTCTCTTAATGTTTAAGATCATTAAGAGAGTTTTGTTTTCTTGGTGGAGGTTTTATTTAATAGCGGAATGTACCACACAGCTTAGGCCTGGGTTAAATAGATTTTTTTCACGGTTTAACCCTTTTTTTGTGTTCACTTTATTTATTGTTTGTTCATATTTTGTGCAGATTTAGATGTTTTTTTGTGAGCGATATGGCTGCTACTAACAATTAATCTCATAGTGTACTAGTTTGCAATATTTTTTTGTTTGGCCATCTAGTCAAACATATATTTTGATTGTACTATATGAGCTTTATCAAATACATTTTTACTAAATACGGTTGAAATGTGGTGACTGAAGGCTTCTAGCTAGAGGATATTTTATGAATAAAGTGTATTATTAAATAGAAATCAGAAACAGTTCATTCTATTTTGCCATTTTGATTTAATAATACTTCTGTCTTTGATACAAAAATCTGTTGGCGTGTGTTTTAGAGTCTGTATAGCCCAGATAATAGGGATGGGGCAAGATCCCGTGAGACAAAATTGCCACAAGAAAACTATTTGTGACATTTTTTTCCCCCATGATTTCACGTTTGGATTTTAAAAAATTGAGTCAAATATTGGTGATTTAAAATTTTTTGAGAAGCTGTTGTTCCAAAAAGCAGTGCTACGATATCAGCAGAAATATTAAATAAAGTAAATCAAAAATGGCAAGACGCAAAACCGGGAACTGAAATTTACAAGTGATTTATTCTAATTAATGTCAAAATATCTCATCTTTCGTCTCGTTTTATGCAAATTGTACATCGTCCCTACCAGATTGTGATTTAAATGATTGATAGTCGACTATTCGTGGTTATTTTTCTTAACTGTTGCCGTCACAGTGAGTAAGCTGACATACTCTTTCGTGTCTTGTGTCAAATAAAATGATTGACCTGCTATAATTCAGTACACACTCGCACTAACACACGAGTTGGGTTTCCGCGCCCCTTGGGAACGCTACGTCGATGTGGTTGTACTGATTGAATAGTGTTGAGTCACCCTCATCTTTTATTCATGGACTCGAACATCAGAGCAAACTGAGAATCAATGCTCTATATTTAGACAATGAATAGACTCTTCTGTTGTTGTGAGCTGAGAGGCTTAACAGAAAGTGTCATGTCTTACTCTAATTAAGTAATCAATCCGGGTAGTTTAATTACTATACATGTACAGCAATTAACAACAATTATAGTTTAATTTAATAGATACGTTTTTTTTGTAGAGCACAGTTCAATTTGATTTCAGTTTTTTTCCCACAACTTTGAATGATAAATTATAATCCCACAATAGGCACACACTTACACGTATACATGCATTTGACATTTATTATATATGCAATATACGAAAACTATGAAAATAAATCTAGCATTGGCCTTATTTTATTTATTTTTTACTAAATTATGATTGAATATTAAAGTTGCCCCTCTGAAACGTCGTCATTTTTTATTTAAATAAATTTTTTTTAAATTTACTTTTATTTTTAAGATATGGAAATAACTGGAAAATTTGCAACTTAAATAATTCTATCAGTTTTTATTTCCCTTTTTTCAGCATTTGACCTTATTTTATTATTTTTTAAAACTAAATAATGATTTGGATATTACAGTTGCCCCTCTGAAACTTCGTTTTTTTTTTTGTTTTTTTATGTATTTTTTAATTTATGTATGTATTTATTAATTTATGTATTTTTAATTTTTTAATGTAAGATTGGAAATAACTGGAAAATTTGCAACTTAAATTACTCTATCAAGTTTTATTTCCCATTTTTTTCACCATTTGACATATTATGTATGCAATATATGAAAACTGAAAAAAATCTAGCGTTTGACCTGATTTTAATTTTTTTTACTAAATTAAAGACTGAATATTAAATTTGCCCCTCTGAAACTTCATATTTTTTTCATTTTAATTTAATTTGAATTGAATTTAAATGTTTTAAATTTATTTTTAATTTTAAGATTGGAAATAACTGGAAAATTTGCAATTTAATTTACTGTATCAACTTTTATTTCTCTTTTTTTCAAAATTGAAATTCAGGTACATTTGAAAGCACTGTCCAACCTTCACCTGCCTATTACCTACTCGTACATATCTCCGAAAATAAAGTCCTCTTCAATATTTTTTCAATGTTTTTTCAATTCCACATTTAGACTTAAACAAACTTTATTGATCCACAAGGGAAATTACTTGGACACAGTAGCTCACACATCACAATATAATATAATAGAAAAAAGAAAAAATATAAATGGTAATAATACATTTTAAATAAGTAGCAAAAATAGCAAGAGACTGAGGCTGAATATGAACTTCTGACTCTCTCCTCTCTCTCTCCTGTGTTAGCGGACTGCTCGGGGCCGATCTACCGCAGCAGCAGGTCGGGGGGACGCAGACCTGTGGACATCCCCCCCATCGACCCGTCTGTGCTCCAGGACCTGCACAGACACACGCAGGATGTGGCCCAGAGCGTGGAGGCCATGATGAAGAGTCTCAACGGAACCATCCAGAATGTCAGAGCAGTTTTCAGTTTAGACTTATCACAGTAAAGGAGTTATCTTATCTGTTTGTCTCATGTGGCTTGTTTGATTTGATTTTCCTTCAGATGACTGCGTTGAGTGTGGGATACATTCAGACGTACAGGGACTCTGTGGACAGCCTGGGAGAGTCTGTGGACATGAGCATCAAGGTGAGTAGCAACAAGAACAAGCGCAATCAGAAACAGCAACCTGATCCCCCACGAGGCATCGGTGGAGTCAGTTCATCACCACAGAAATGCCCAGCCCATATTACATGATCATTATATCCACAATGCAATGTGTGTATCTGTACAGGCCCATGAACATTTGTGTGATATTGGTCCCACATGAGAATGTCTGTGTTTACTAAAGTGTAACCAAAATGTTATTTTTCATGAGTTGTGTATATGTTTGTTTCTGTGACTGTAGATCAGTGTGTTGTGTATCACCAGAAAAAGAAGAAATGGAAATTATTTTCGTTCAAATTAGAATTTTAACGGCTACACTGAAAGAGAAAGGAACTGTTATAATTAGTGATTATCTCGAAAACTATTAATATTTTACTATTCAAATGCATAGAATTATAAATAGATCATAATTTTTCTAAGATTTTGAGACCACTCCCATTGCTCTAGTTCGATCCTTCGCGGAGTTATGACCAAAAACTCATATTTGACCTTGGTTACCTTGACTTGACCGGTTTCAACCTGTAACATCCAGTGTGCCCCGGTTATGTGTGTGCCAGCTTTTGTGATGATTGGGTGAATATTTTAGCCCGCAGATGGTCCAGAAATTGCCGAAATAGCCTATCCTTCATAATGGTGTGACCTTTCAATTGACCCGTGTGACCTCAAATGACCTTGGATCGTCACCAAACTTTTTTAGCGGCATCAGACACGGGGACTTGACCTACATACCAAATTTGGTGACAGTCGGTCCATAAGTGGCGGAATTATCGCGGATAGACACACACACAGACACACAGGGTGAATACAAAACCTGGTCAACCCTTCGGGGACCAGGTAATAAAGTATCATTTTAATGGGGGAAATGCATCTTAACCCTTTCCACTCACCTTATGGTTTGGTTTTACAGGTTTTTAACATTCAAAATACTGTCAGTGCATGTACTGTCGTCTCTTTTAAACAAAACATGCATACATTCAGAAATAACAGCCTAATGAGATCTTAACAGAACATGTTAGTACAGAATAAGACAGGATGTTTGTTGTTGGAGGAAATTGGAGGAAATGATGTTACTTCATTTAATCTAGGCCTGGATACTAGATTGATCTTCAAGCCATCGTCAATGTAACACCTGATTAAAACATTATTATAGTGGTATAATTATATGTTATTTTTTTGTTGTGATCCCAAAACTATTTTTGTAATTTGCATTTATGAGTTTGTAAAATACAGGAGGGTTCCCACTCTTTTTCACTGACAAAATTTGTGTAGAATTGATCAGACTTTTAGGGCTAAATATAAAATGTTAACCCTTTCCACTCACTGTATGGTTTGGTTTTATAGTTTTTTAACATTCAAAATACTGTTTATTGTCGTCTCTTTTAAACAAAAGGTGCATACGTTCGGAAATAATCGTAATAGTCTAATGAGAACTTAACAGAACATTGTAGTTGTGTGAATGAGATACTAAAATTCCATGACTTTTCCAGGCTTTCCATGACCGTGGGAACCCTGCAAAGTTCACTGAAAAGTATAAATGTCATTATGTTGTTCTTTAAAAGGCCCACTGTGTAACTTTTCTGGTCAGGGCGTCCTCCATCTTCTCGTCTTTACAGAGATATTATTGCTTTACCTGAAATGTCCCACAGTACAGCATTAAACTTATTTACTCACAAAAATATTGCATTCTTAATTAATATTCCAGACTTAGCATACTCCACGAATTCTCCACCAGAAAAGTTCCACAGTGCACCTTTAAATTAGGGCTGCTCAATTTTAGAAAACCACAATCACTATTCATGGTTGATCACTGAAATCATGACTGTTTGAATCATGTATGTACTGTCAAAAAGAGACGGTATAGATACTGATTGTTATTATTTATTTGGAATGTTTTGCAATTTATGTTTTAAAAGCCACTGTGGATTAGACAAATACCTGGTTTTGTGGGGCCATGTTATTTTATCATACTTTATTTCAGTGTAAATACTATGGTAATATTCCAATTTAAAATCTTATCAGTTGCATACTACTTTCCATACTACGATACTACAATCAAATCTATTCTATTTTTGAAATAACATCTATATTATCTAAAGTTTAACCAAAGGCAGGCAGCACAATTCGTACACAAAGTAATTCAAAGTGCTTTAAGAAATAAGAAGAAGAGAGAGAAATTGGAGAGAAGAGTGCGGAATGAAAACCTTTCATGTTAAACAGAAATGTTTTGAGCCTGGATTTAAACAGCGTCTCACATGTTCAGACTGTTCCAGGTTTTAGCTGCATGAACCTGAAACGCTGACTCCCCTTGTTTAGTCGTGACTCTGCAGCAGGAGGTCGGTCCCTGAGTCCTCTTCATATGACACTAACATGTCACAGATGTACTTTGGTGCTCGGTCACGGAGAGACTTGTACAAAGGAGATTGTGTTGTACTTGGCAGCACTATCGCCAGACACTACAGCATTTTTCGGTCTTAAGAGATTTTTAAACGTGTGACAAAAAACACACACCACAGACACGAGGAGAATCTTATGAGATTTTAAATCTCCGATCGCAAAGACTGCAGCAGGATATCAGCTACACAGTTGGGAGTTTTCTGTCTACAGTAAAACGACTCAATTTGAGACTCTTAAGTGTTCAAAAGATCAGAGCGCTGCACTTCTGGTTTAAATACAAGTCAAAACTGTGTTGTTATTATATTTGAAATGTGGTGCAAAACTTCAGATACATGATTTTTATTGCACAGAAGGTTGGCGATGAAGTAGAGAGGAAGTAGAGTCACTATCACTAATCTGCAGCTTCACCTCGATCCATGCGCTGTGTGGATGTAAACAGACACACGTGAGGAACTACTCAGGCCTTTTTACTTCTAAAGAACACTTCAAACTGGATTCACAGCGCGGTTTTGTAGACTGAATGTCATTATTTGCAGAGGAAAAATTGTGTGAATATGGATGAAATGCTGCAGTTTAAATTTCCCACTTTACGAGAGGTGAGTAATAAAGTCTTCTCATTATTTTCACTATTTCCTGAGTTTGTATGTTGCGTCTCTGTGTCTGTCACTCTGTCTGCCCCCGACGCTCTGAGCTGCCAAACATCAGCAACGCTACAGTAACAGCCCATAAATCAGAGTCACACTGACACCGCACACACGAGGAGTGCAGCGGCTTCAAAATCGCACCAGAAGACACAAAATCGGGTCACGCCTCAAAAACAGGGAGGTGCAAACCAAAGCCTAATTCTCCTGTAGTGTGGGACGGTCGTAACATTTCATATTTAGCCCTAAAAGTCTGATCAATTATACACAAATTTTGTCAGTGAAAAAGAGCGGGAACCCTGTTGTATATTACAAACTCATAAATGCAAATAACAAAAATAGTATTGGAATCACAACAAAAAAATAACATAAATATACCACTATAATAATGTTTTAACCCTTTCAGGCTCAAATACAATTTTAGTAACAGGAAAAAATCTGATATTTGGGGAAAATGATCATATGGGGTAGAAATAATCAATCCTGACTTTTTTTTTTTTTGAGATCCAATGTGTTCTGGGATGTTTCAGATTTGCAGCATTGGCCCGGTGTGGTAAATTAACACTGAAGACTGAAAATTATGTGAACACTAACTTTATGTGTAAACCACTTTTCATAACAATGACAACATAAAGCACAGTGTAACAGCTTTACAGTGGCAGAACAACATCACTTTTTCATGTGGTGTTCCAAGAAACTATTTTTATCCTTTGTAAACAACAAAAGTACTTTGCACTTCTGGCAGGTCGTTTGTGTGGAGCCGTTCTTACACAGTCTGCATCGTCCACGTTTATCAGCATGGATGGGAAAAAAGGCTCCTGAGTAAAAAAAAGCTCATAAAATATGGATTTGGAGTAAGTAGGTTATTGGCATTTAGCTGTTGCAAATCTGCAACGCCTGGGGGGGGTTAATCAGGTGTTACATTGACGATGGCTTGAAGATCAATCTAGTATCCAGGCCAAGATTAAATGAAGTAACATAATTTCCTCCAACAACAAACATCCTGTCTTATTCATGAGGCTATTATGATTATTTCCGAATGTATGCACGTTTTATTTAAAAGAGACAACGATAAATGCACTGACAGGATTTTAAATGTTAAAAAAACTATAACACCAAACCATAGGGTGAGTGGAAAGAGTTAACATTTCATATTTAGCCCTAAAAGTCTGATCAATTCTACACATGTAGGAGCCGTAAAGTCATGGAAAATTCACATAGGTCATGAAAAACCTATTGAAGAGTTTTGTCAGTAAAAAAGAGTGGGAACCCTGACTTTGACTTTTGATCTTAAACAGAAATCTTGTCACTAAAGTGGTGTTGTTGTTTGTCACAGGGCATGTACACTCTGATGGCGCGCTGTGAGGAGCTGGACAGGTCCATGCAGCCCATCCACGGGTTGGCAGCTCAGATACGCGACATCAAACGCACCCTGGACGCTCTGGAGGCCATCTGTAAGTAACTCCACCCACCTCAGAGGTACCAGCCCCAGACTCCACCCGCCTGAGACGTACCAGGACTCAAACCCAGCCAACCCCAGACGCCACCAGGCTCCTGTCCCACCAAACGAGGAAGTTCTTCGTCGTCTGATTCTGTTTACCGCTTGGAGTTTAACGGCCCGGTATTACGCTGTTTTCTGATCGATGTTATAATGTTGTTTCCTCGTCGCAAACAGACCTGGAGTTGTTTTGTTTCATTCACACGTTTCTCCACTGTGTTTTTAAACTCCACACACCTTTATTACAATCATTTGGATAGTTTCAGTTTCAATCTCGACTGTTCTAAAGGTAAAATGTAGCTGTTAACTTGAAAACTACTGCTTGAAACAGAGCATTTTGAGCTTTGGAGGTGTTAACAAACTAATAATAAAAGGTTTCTCAAACGTGAATGAAACAAAACACAACTCCAGGTCTGTTTTTGATGAGGTGACCGCATTATAATACGGATTAAATCTCGGTAAACTTTGCATAATATAGGACCTTTGAGGTCTGCACCTCAGCTCCTTGATAAATTTAACTTCGGAGCCTTTTTCGTGTCGTAAAACGGAAGAATTTGCCATCCATTGCTTGGAAAAATTGCACTATGCTCTTCTTGGTTCAGAAGAGACTTGTCTGAACTCTCGAGACTTTTGCACAGAATATATTTTTTAACCTTTATGCAACACGATTTCTCCGAGTGAAGTCCGCCGCATCATGTTTGTCCTACCGTCTTTTGTGTTAATTTATTCTTGGCATGTTTCTATGTGAGAGCCATTTTCATTTATTTTTTTTTGTTTACATCCAAGTGACACTGGAGCTTTTGCAGTTACTGAAAAGTGTTAAATTGAAAGGCCAATACCAAATGAAAAAATATATCTTTATAGGGCTGCACGATATGAGAAACAGATGCGATATTTGATAGCTATGTTTTGTATTGTGTTAACGACATTATTACGAGAACATACTTTTTGGCATGTTTAGATTAACTAAAACAAAAATTGAAAAATCACTTAATTTACAGATCAAACTGCGTCAAAAACCAAGACCAAACAGAGACTAATGTAGGACTTAATAAAGAAAATAATGAGCACTGTATTTTCCGCACTATAAACCGCACCAGACTTTAAGGCACATTAAATGAAACACAACAGTTACATAAGTCAGTCAAACTTTACTTAACGTGTTCACAATAACTCTCAACTTTGTTCAGTTGTAACGTTTAAAAAAAATACTGTCTGAGACGCTAAATTGTTGCTGTATTCACAATAACTCATAATTGTTCAAACAGTTGGGTGATTACGGCGTCCATCACGTCCACATCCCTCTCGTCATGATCCGAGTCAGTGTGGTTACTGTTCCCTGGAGTTCAGTTCAGTGATGATTCTGGTCTTGGTGAAAGCTCGGACCACAGTTGATACTGATCTTTAGCCCGGGCGTCCACGATCCGTCGGCAGATCGTGGCGTAAGTGGCTCGGCGCTGTCTCTCTGTCTTGGTGAATGTGTGTTCTCCTTCTCTCATCCACTGCTCCCACGCACCTCACACTTTCACTTTATAACAGCCTTGAGTTTAAAGTCGGCGTTGTGAGCGTGTCTCTCGACAGGTGCATTTTGATATTAAAAGGAATCACAGTATGTATTACTCTGCGATGCTCCTGACTACGGGAGCCATAATGCTGCAAGTGGTGCGGCTTTGTAGTTTACTAAAGTCGTACTAAGACACACAAATAAATTCACATATAAGACGCACTGTATTTTAAGGCGCGCAGTCGTTTTTTGATGAAATTAAAGGCTTTTAAGTGCGCCCTATAGTGCGGAAAATACGATATTGTCCATTTTACTTTAAAGGTGCACTGTGTAACTTTATGGTTGGCGGTCCGTCACCTGCTTGTTTCCATGGAGATGTCTCTGCTCTGCTTGGAATGTTCCACAGTATGACATTAAACAGCTCTACCTTACAATTACGCAATCACGGGTGTTTCTGTTGCTCAAAAATCAAACATTCTGACTAAACGGGGTCGCCTCTCCGCAGATCTGACCTGTATGTTGGTCTGGTTTGGTTTCCATGAAGATAGAACGGTTTAATGCCACACTGTGAAACCTTCCAGACAAACAGTAACCAGAAAAGTTACACAATGCACCTTTAAAAACACATTTTAATAACATAAACAAAGATGTCTTTATTTTCTTGCGATATCGATTATCGTGGCAACCAGTACAGCAATACCGATATTTTTGCAATATATTGTGCAGCCCTACATCTTTCTATATGGTCTCCTTTCTTACGGCTTATTTTGGTCGTTTAACATTCTATAAATTAGGAAAATGTGCAGATTTTTCAACTTACACAGGGAGAATATTTTGTTGTCATTCTCATAAAACGTGTGCAATTAAATATGACTAAATATGGGCCTCAAAAACTAAAACTTTGCAAGTGTTCATGGATTTTAAATACTCATACTGATCATGTATCTCTGATTTTAACCCCTAAAATACACGGCGAGTTTCTGTTCACGAGTACAGCGTCTGCATGTCCGTTTTGTTATTACCGCTGGCGAACGTTACCATAGCAACACAATGCACAAAGCTCTGGCCTGCTTTTCTCCTCACACCAGTTTGAATCTGAGAGACAGATCTATCTGCATGTCCGCTCTCGACTTCTGAGAAAAAACGTTGTAATTTAATTGTGAATAATTATAAATAAAGTGGTGTATTATTGATTCTCGTTGTACATGTAAATAATTATACCTGTAACTCTTATTTAGATACTCCTGTCTCTGTATATTTTAATTAAGAATGAATAAATTTGCAAATGTTGAATATTTTTGTCTTACTTGCTCCGGATTGAGTCTCGGCCTGGAACGGTTTAAACTTGGTCTGAAGGAACACCGTGTAACTTTTCAGGCAGAGGATACGCCACCTGTTTGTTTACATGGTGATGTTACTTCTTTGCCTGGAATGTTCCACAGTATCGCAGTATAAACTAATCGATCTTGTGTTTATTCAGTAGACTTTATTCACGCTTACGTCACAAACAAGGAAGACGTTTGGAAACATGTGATGACGACTTCCGGCGGGTTCTTTTCGCGGTATTAAATCTGACAAAATCTAGAAAAACTGAGAAAATGTCCCAGTTTTCTTCATCTACATGTCATTGTAGCTTTCTGTTATGTTTGACTAATCAACAATTACAACCATACCGCAGTTTTTATAATTTTTCTGCCAAATTCAAGATGATTCCAAACAGCACATACATATGCACTCGTCATGTTACCGCTGATCACGTTTACTTCAGTGGGTTTTATCCATAGAACTATAATAAAATCATAATAAAAACTCAAATAAAAAAGTTTTAATTATAGTCAGTATCTAAGGCAAGGCAAGTTTATTTGTATAGCACAATTCGTACACAAAGTAATTCAAAGTGCTTTACAGAATAAGAAATACATTAAAATGATAATAAAAACAAATCAAAACATAAATAATCATGAAGATTAAAATAAAAAAGAGAGACATAAATTGGAGAGAAGAGTGCGGAATGAAAACCTTTCAGTTTTATGCACAGTTAAACAGAAATGTTTTGAGCCTGGATTTAAACAGCGTCACAGAAGAGTCTGTCTCACATGTTCAGACTGTTCCAGGTTTTAGCTGCATGAACCTGAAACTCTGACTCCCCTTGTTTAGTCGTGACTCTGGGCACCAGCAGGAGGCCGGTCCCTGAGGGTCCTCAGAGTGTGAGATGGTTCATATGACACTAACATGTCACAGATGGACTTTGGTGCTCGGCCATGGAGACACTTGTACAAGCAGAGCTGCTTTAAACTCTATTCTCTGAGGCACAGGAAGCCAGTGCACAGGACTTATGTGCTCGTACTTCCTAGTTCGAGTCAGGACCCGAGCTGCAGTGTTCTGGATGTTCTGGATGTTCTGGATGTTCTGCAGCGTCTCACAGCTCGTTTGGAGAGACCAGTGAGCAGAACATTACAGTATCTAACCTACTGGAGACAAACGCATGGATAAGTTTCTCCAAGTCTGCTTTAGACAGTAAACCTTTGATTTTTGCTATGTTTTTTAGATGGTAAAAGTATCTAAAAAGTATCTACACTGGAAGTTGACTAGCACTCATACCTCACAGCAACAAGGTTCCGGGTTCGATCCCTGGGTCGCCTGGGCTTTTCTGTGTGGAGTTTCCATGTTTCTCCCCGTGTCTGGATGGGTTTCCTCCGGGCGCTCCAGTTTCCCCCATCAACCCAAAACATGCTCCAGGAAGAACAGTGGATAGCTAAGATCAATTAAATACAATCAATCAATGAACCTGCCCTGGGACGACAGGTGGAAATTAGCACCGATGATACAACCTGGTACAATGAATCTCTCCTGTTAAGGTTAATGTATAAATTGTGCCTTGTCCCTGTCTCATTAAAAAAAAAAAAGTTTCCAAATGTCTTCCTGGTTTGTGATGTAAGCGTGAATAGAGCCTATTGCAGGTTTCATACTCAAAAATGCCCTTAAAACATGCATTCTTACTGTGAACGGGATCGCCTCTCCACAGATTTGACCTGTAAATTCGCCCAGTGGCATTACCTGCAGATATACTACACTACCAGTCAAAAATTGGCATGCACCATCTCATTAAATGTTTTTTCTTCTACTTTGAGAATATGAATTTAAAACAAACTAAACAAAAATAGTGATTTACCTTTATTCTTTTCTACATTATTCCTTATACAGAATCTTACTTCACATATTTGAAGTCTTTTGTGTGTATAAAATATAGAAAGTAGCAAAAATAAAAACAAAGAAACTAATTGGGTCCAACATTTTGTCTGATAGTGTGAGTTTAATGCCATACTGTGGAAAATCAAAGGCAAAGCAATAACATCTCCATTAGGACTGGGATTCATTCAGAAATTGCCGATACGATACATACCTCGATACACAGCCAGTGTTGGGAGTGTTACTTTTAAAATGTATTCCCCTACAGATTACAGATTACATACCCCAAAATGTAGTTTGTAACGTAATCCATTAAATTACTTAAAGTGAGTAACGTAATCTGAATACTTTGGATTACTTGATTTGCTGTAGAGAAGCAAAGACGAGGAAATCTTCACATAAGATGTTTTGTCTGCTAAAAGAAAATGAAAGAGTCTTTACTTAACCGTATTAAAAATAGTATTGATAGAAAAGGAGGAGACACGACCGCACAGCATGATTTAGTCCTGTTAAATCCTGTTTTAGACCTGGTTTAGTGTCCGGCAATGAGTGGAATTATGGAAAAAAATAAATAAAAGGGGGATATAGCACAAAATGTAAAAACTGGAAAATACCACCGTGTAATCCATTATTTCAACAAAGTAACTGTAATCCAATTACCACTCACTGAAACAGTAACTGTAACTGAATACAGTTACTCATAATTTGTACTCTGATTACGTAACTCCAGTACATGTAATCTGTTACTCCCCAACACTGTACACAGCCCACGATACGCTATGTATTTCGATACAGTGCACTTTCAATTCAATACAATATATTTCAGATTCGATTCGATACGATTCAATAAAAAATCATATCATGATACATGTCGCATAAATGAGTTTCCTTCCTCTAAACAAACAACAAAACTTTAGCACTGTAACAATAATTTAGTAAAATACACCAAAAAATACTCTTGGCGATGTATCGATACAGCAGCCCACGATATCGATACTGTATCATCACATTAAACGATGCGATACATTTATATTTCAATATTTTTGCACACCCCTAATCTCCAATCTTCACCCAGAAATATTACATTGTGCATCTTTAACTGCATATATCTATCTTTTTGGCTTTTTGGCTGCGTTGTTCCTGATTTAGTCCGAATTTATTTCTGTTTTGGTTTTGGTTTCCTGTCCTAGTCTAGAAAACCCATTAAACAACTGAATATGATTTTAATATGGAGCTCTGATATGTGCAGTTACACACAACACAGGCAGAGGGCGTTATATACCAACTTTATGGATCTTGTTTGCTTTTTTTCTTCACAAACATGGTCAAAATAGGCATACATCATAGTGACAGTCCTCTTTCTTTGTCTTAATGTTTTCTGAAGACACACACCTGGGTCTGCTGTACTTTTTTTTTTATTTATTTATTTTTTTTTACAAATGACTGATCTCTTTGCCTTCTGATACCACCACACTGTTATAGCTGCTCAGATTCTTTTATTTTTCCATATTTACAAATGTTTACAAAACTATGAACTCCAAAATTGTACACATAAACAAATATATATGCAAATGAACAGATAAAAATATAACTGCAAAAATAACACGGCCATTTGATACGTGATACCCAGCAAAAGTGTCCGTTGAAATGCGTTTGAAACCACCGAAGTGTTTACTGCTTAAGAAATGTTCGTTAACAGCCAGTTTGGCAAGTTTGAGATAGTGTGTTGCTCAAAGGCACTTTTGAGTTGTGGGTGCATTTTACATTCCTGATTATGTCTACTGTAAACGTAAAGTGCATATGACAGGTTTTCATGTTTTCTAAAAGTAAATATTTATCATTTTACATCAGTTCAGTAGGAAAAAAGTAGAAAAAAAATGTACAAAAACTACAGGAAGTAACTCTGAGTTGTAAAATAAAACACTGCTATACATCATCAACTCGAAAAATGCAGGGATAGTTCACATGTAACAAAAGTATTTTCTGGGAGTTCAGTTCATTTCATTTAACAAAATAAAGGTGTTGTAATCAATTTTTATCAGTCTATTCCAGGGGTGGACAATTATTTTTTCCATGGAGCTACTTGAGAAACAGAAAATATTGTGGAGGCCAAAATGCTTAACTCAGTTCTGCATAATATTAATTGTATTTCTTTATAAAACGCAGTAAATATCATTGTTTTGACGAGATGGTAAGAACATATGTTATGACTAAGCAATGAAAAAGTGAGGCTGCCTTACAAAAAATGTCATAAAAAAAACACCAAAAAACAACTAAAGCAATGCAGCTTTAGTCCATGCATGAGGTAAAAATATAAGATATGTTTATTTTGCAATTTCAAATTATCTTAAACAGGCCGGTCAGAGTGAACCAAAGGGCTGTATGTGACCTGGGAGCTGCACAATGTCCAGGTCTGGTCTAATCCATAGACTGTTTATATAAATGGACATACCTAACCCGCTGGCCGCTGTGTTCCAAATAGGAAGTGAGCATGGGGGCACTTCCGGCTCCATCAACTCTGGTTCCGATTGACTTTACACTGAAAAACCTTACCCTCTCTCTGTAACAGCTGCAGTGAGCCACGTCATTTTGATCTTAAATTTTCATATTAACCCACTTTACACGATCCTGGTGTTTTTATCTCACAGTTTAGTTTTTAAATAAATTGCTATTCCTAATGTGGAACTGGCTCCAAATGGACTCCTATAACTGCTAGCTTCTGTGAGCTGCATTTGACTGGAGCTGACCACTGTGGGAGACGTCACACACTCTTAGTCCACTTTTGTATACATTCTGTAAAAAATGGTAAAACTTCACCAAAATAAGACATTTTGTACTATCTTGAATACAATCATGATAACTATGTTTTAGTGAAATCTAACCTGTCATATACACTTCATATGACAGGTTAGATTTCACTCATCTCGTGTGACTGAGCTCTTCACCCTCCCTTAGAGACAGGGTGAGGAGCTCGGTCACACGGGAGGAGCTCGGAGTAGAGCCGCTGCTCCTCCACGTCGAGAGGAGCCAGTTGAGGCCCGGGCATCTGTTCCGGATGCCTCCTGGGCGCCTCCCTCGGGAGGTGTTCTGGGCATGTCCCACCGGGAGGAGGCCCCGGGGAAGACCCAGGACACACTGGAGGGACTATGTCTCTCGGCTGGCCTGGGAACGCCTCGGGGTCCCGCTGGAAGAACTGGAGGACATGTCTGGGATGAGGGAAGTCTGGGAGTCCCTGCTTAAACTGCAGCCCCCTACGACCCCGGATAAGCGGAAGAAAATGGATGGATGGATGGATAACCTGTCATATACACTTTAAAAAACATATTTATTTTGTGAATCCATTTTGTTAAATAACTTTGAATTCTGCATTTGTTATTCATGTCCATAAACAAAGTACCAGCAGAAGTAGCAGCAGTACTGTGATCCTTGAGAGACTTCTTATCTCTCCTCTGTCCACTGGCGTTTCCAAAGTTGTTTTCGGACTTACACTTCCTCCATTGTCCCCATTCTGAGCCCCGTAGGCACCCGTAGTTGTGGCTATCCCATCTGAAACAGTAGGCAGCACATCCAGCCCCTGCCCCACGCTGTCCTCTCTCTTGCCCACAGAAGGAGCACCGTCTTTGGGCGTCTGTTGGTCTGACACGTCCCGGTCAGAGGAGGAGAACCACTGACACTGAAAGTCCCTTTTCCACAGCTCTGCAGGGTCTGGGTCGGGTCTGAGGGAGGGGTCAGGCTGGTCTGTGGCTTCATCAGACTGGAGACAAACAGACAGAGAGAATATTATTAGGATTGTTCTTTTTTGCAAGTGGAACTAAACAGAAAATCTACTTTTTTTTTGTGCTTTTTTTGCTACTAAATGGTGTAAATGGTGCTTTAAAAAGCCCATATTACACAATTTTATGATCTATGTACAATGTTTCCTCGTCTTAAAATGCATAGCACGATCAAATGGTCAATGTTCAAAGGCTTTTTTATTTTATGTTTATAACGTTTCGGCAAAAAGTCTTCATCAGATTGTTTTTCATGCTTTGGACCACAGTATCAAACTTTAATGTGCGTTTTCTGTTTCATTTGATAATGTTTCCTCATCACAAACAGACCTGGAGTTGTGTTTTGTTTCAATGCATATTAAGCCTAAAAACACTCTATTCCACCTTGTGATGTCATACAGGAAGGGCTCCACTGTGTTTTAAAACTCCATACACCTTTACTAGAATCATTTGGATCATTTCAGCCCTGGAAATGACAATCTCTATTACTTTTTCATGACATCACAAGGTGGAACAGAGCATTTTGAGCTTTGGAGATGTAAACAGACTAATAATAAAGTGTTACTGAAACATGTGTGAATGAAACAAAACACAACTCCAGGTCTGTTTTTGGTAAATTAACAACATTCTGACGTGTCTTAAAGCTCACAAGCGTCAGTTTTGCATAATATAAAACCTTTTATCACAATTTGCAGTCCTTTTCCCACTTCAGTTTTAGTACAAATAGATACATTTGCAATTTTGTGCTGAAAAACATCTAAAACTGAGTATGTGCTGCGTAAGGGGATGGATGAAGCAAAGCGCGTACATTTCCAATAGATGCATCACGAATTTCATCGTGCAGTGCATACTGGGAAGGATTTTCTGAAAAAGTGAGCATCAAACCGCCGTGTTTGATTTCCCAGTGGGATGTGTCTATTGACAAAGCCAGTCTTTTCTTGTCTTTTGAACCATATCGCTTTTGTTTCTGGTTCTGATATTGTCATATTTTAGTTTTGGGATTCGTACATCGTAATTGTGTGGTTGTTGGATCCTAACAGCCGGAAAACAAGCTCGAGAAAATTGTTTGCGAACTTCATAAAAGCAAAAGGGAATGGTAAATGTTCAGATTTTTCTATAGCGCTTTTCCACCTTCAAGGCACTCAAAGCGCTTTACAACAAGGAACCACTCATCCATTCACAAACCAGTGTACGCAGACACTGTCGGTGGGTTAAGTGTCTTGTCCAAGGACACAACGACAGCATTCATCTGTATGAGCTGGAATCACACCAGCCAACCTGTGGATCTGACCGCTCAACCTGTGATGTTTATGTCGAGAGCTGGAACCACCAACCTTCAGACCAGTGGGCGAACGCTCTACCAACTGAGATATAGAATCAGATGTGTGTGACTGCAAACCTCTGTTCAAACTGTTTCTCTTCCCATCGGAATTGAAAAATAGTGAAAGGTGAAGGCGATGGGCAGTATTGATCCACAGGAAGGACGAAAAAGGTCATCTTTGACTGACTAAATCATCCCGAGTTTGGAGCGAACATTTTGTATGTGGAGCGACAACAAAGCAAAATCCCGATCCCTCGCTCCACCTTGGTTAAGAATTTAAAAAGTCAACGCCAAAGCGAAAGGCACCAGCTGTTCACCAAGAAACACCTTCCACTGCAAAGCGACTAAGACGTGATGTTGCTGTAAAGTCACAAGAACAAGAAAGTGCAGCTCAGTCTGTTTGTCTTCTGCACCTCTCACTTAACAAACAGGATCCTGCTTTGTTGTTGCTCCACATACAAAATGTTCGCTGCAAATTCGGGATGATTTCTTAGGCAGCCAAAAGTTTCCTTTTTCATCCTTCCTGTGGATCAATCCTGCCCATCACCTTCACCTTTCACTATTTTTCAATTCCGATGGGAAGAGAAACAGTTTGAACAGAGGTTTGCAGTCACACACATCTGATTCTATATCTCAGTTGGTAGAGCATTCGCCCACTGGTCTGAAAGTTGGTGGTTTGATTCCAGCTCTCGACATAATCATCACAGGTTGAGCGGTCAGATCCACAGGTTGGCTGGTGTGATTCCAGCTCATACAGATGAATGCTGTCGTTGTGTCCTTGGACAAGACACTTAACCCACCTTGCCCACAGTGTCTGCGTACACTGGTGTGTGAATGGATGAGTGGTTCCTTGTTGTAAAGCGCTTTGAGTGCCTTGAAGGTGGAAAAGCGCTATAGAAAAATCTGAACATTTACCATTCCCTTTTGCTTTTATGAAGTTCGCAAACAATTTTCTCGAGCTTGTTTTCCCGGCTGTTAGGATCCAACAACCACACAATTACGATGTACGAATCCCAAAACTAAAATATGACAATATCAGAACCAGAAACAAAAGCGATATGGTTCAAAAGCCTAGAAAAGACTGGCTTTGTCAATAGACGCATCCCACTGGGAAAACAAACATTTGACACTCACTTTTTCAGAAAATCCTTCCCAGTTTGCATTACTCAATGACCTTAAGTCCGAAATTCGTGATGCATCTATCCCCTCCCACTTCAATTATACATCTATATTATACATGACAAAACAATACAGACAAAACAAACATTCACACACTCATCCAGACACAAAACTGGCCCAACACCCGACACCTCCCTCCCCCTGATCTCACGCTCTGTGCTCAAACATCTCTGTCTCTCCTCCAGGTATTTTTTTCATCGTTTCTCTTTTAAATAATTTTTTAAAAACTGAACAAGACTCCTACACACTTTTAGTTTTTCTGATAATCCGTTCCACAGATTAACCCCGCGCACTGAGATGCACATTGACTTTAAAGTAGTTCTAAATTTCCACTGGTAAATTTTTTATTACCTCTAAGTTTGTGGTTATGATGAGCAGTTCGATCTTGGAATAAATCGTTAAAATTAGCTGGAAGAGAGTTGACAGAAGCTCTGCTCAACGTTTGAGCTGTTTTAAAGTTTACCAGATCATGTCATGACGTTTTGAGTCTGATGATTTTAAAAAACAGCCTCTAGAGGGCACTGAGAGTTCAAGTACAATGTGACATCACACAAAACTGCCCTGATTACAGCCGGGTGTTTCTTTCTAGTTTAGTTTAGCAGCTCTTTTTGAAACGTGGTGGTTCTCAAAAGCAGTAAAAGTGTAATTTTATTTGAGAGGGACTTGTTTAACAGCACAAATCATTTCTCCTGTTGTAGTTCTGACCAATTCAACTCTTTCTGGTCAGATTGTGTTCAAATAAAGCTGAGATCAAAGTCTAGCAACCCTCAGACAGAGCAGTGCCTACAGTTAGCGTCCCCCCCCTCCCAGGGACCGTTGATGACATCAGCTGTAAAGTATCTCCAGCCTGTTCTGTCGAAGTGGAAGGTTTTATTTTAAATTGACAAGATGATGCCATTTTCTCCTCACAGTTTCCAATCTCTTTTTTTTTTACTTTACCCAAATGCATAAATGTCCATGCAAGAGCGAGAAATGTGGCTCTGAAATCAATTGGTTTCAGATGAGTCACTGCCAAAATTCAGGTCACTACCAACACACTGCACTGGTTAAAGGACAAATATTACACTATTTTCATCTGTTAAAATGTTGTGAACTTGTCACAGTCAGACCTGGAGTTGTGTTTTGTTTCATTCACACATGTTTAACACACAAACTCTGCATATTTAGGCTGAATTCTTCTCTCAAATTGAAAACCCTGCTTGTTTCTATGGATATGTCACTGCTCAGCCTGGATTCTTCCACAGTGTGACATTAAACAGCTCTTTCTTACATTTATTCAATTACAGGTGGTTTTATAGCTCAAATATGCCTAAAAACAGGCATTCTGACTGCGAGCGGGGTCGCCTCTCCGCAGATCTGACCTGTAACTTGGTCTGGTTTGTTCTCGATGAACATAGAAAGGTTTAAATGCCATAATGTGAAACATTCCAGACAAAGCAAAAACATCTCCAGAGAGAAAAGCATTTGACTGGTTCAGTCCTGGTTCAGTCCTAATTCAGCCCTGGTTCAGACCAGTTTCAGACCTGGTTCAGTCCTGGTTCAGTCCCAGTTCAGTCCTAATTCAGCCCTGGGACCAGTCCTGGTTCAGACCAGTTTCAGACCAGTTTCAGACCAGTTTCAGACCTGGTTCAGTCCTGGGATCAGTCCTGGTTCAGTCCTGGTTCAGTCCTGGTTCAGTCCTGGTTCAGTCCTGGGATCAGTCCTGGTTCAGTCCTGGGATCAGTCCTGATTCAGTTTTGATTCAGTCCTGAGATCAGTCCTGGGATCAGTCCTGGTTCAGTCCTGGTTCAGTCCTGGGATCAGTCCTGGTTCAGTCTTGGTCCAGTCTGGGATCAGTCTGGTTCAGTCTTGGTGTAGTTCTGGTGTAGTCCTGGTCAGTCCTGGATCAGTCCTGGTTCAGTCCTGGGATCAGTCCTGGTTCAGTCCTGGTTCAGTCCTGGATCAGTCCTGGGATCAGTCCTGGTTCAGTCCTGGTTCAGTCCTGGGATCAGTCCTGGGTTCAGTCCTGGTTCAGACCAGTTTCAGACCAGTTTCAGACCTGGTTCAGTCCTGGGATCAGTCCTGGTTCAGTCCTGGTTCAGTCCTGGGATCAGTCCTGGTTCAGTCCTGGTTCAGTCCTGGTTCAGTTCCTGGTTCAGTCCTGGTTCAGTCCTGGGTTCAGGTTCAGTCCTGGTTCAGTCCTGGTTCAGTCCTAGGATCAGTCCTGGTTCAGTCCTGGTTCAGTCCTGGTTCAGTCCTGGTTCAGTCCTGGTTCAGTCCTGGTTCAGTCCTGGTTCAGTCCTGGGATCAGTCCTGGTTCAGTCCTGGTTCAGTCCTGGGTTCATCAGTCCTGGTTCAGTCCTGGTTCAGTCCTGGTTCTGGTTCAGTCCTGGTTCAGTCCTGGTTCAGTTCTGGGATCAGTCCTGGTTCAGTCCATTTGTGTCGCAAAAGTCCAGCATCTCGATCAATGTTTCTTCTGCCTGTGATGTGACGATGTATTTCTGACACTCGAGTCGCATCTGTGAATTTGTGTTCGTACTGAAGAAAGCCTAATCGTAAATTTTCATTATGTGATTGTAATTCTTGATGTCGTAACTTTTCAATTCATATTCTGATTTATAAAATACACATAATACATTTTATGTACAACTGGACTCATTCGAGAGTTTACGAATATTTATTTTATGCTCAACTATATGTACGGATTTCTATGATATGCACACAAACATTTCTGAGAGGCTTTCTTACTCCATACCAATGTCTGCTGAACAAAAAATAAAAGGAGCTGTTAAAGTTGAAAACTACTGGTGGAACAGCACATTTTAAGCTTTGTAGATGTAGAGAGACGGTTAAGGATTAATCAAATATGTGTGAATGAAACAGAACACAACTCCAGGTCTGTTTTTGATGCTTTTTGAAGCTCACAAGAGTCAATCAAACGTAATTTAGGACCTTTAAAAAAACATTTGACCAACAGAAAACACACGAGAGCACTTTTAAGAGATCTAAACAATGAATATAGATATTTAAATATAGAAATTTCTCATCCGTGGACCACAATTCATATTTTGGGCTTTGTAAGTTTTATATTTTCATTGTAGAGTCTGTTTTAGTCTACTGCTGCTCAGTTCCCAAGTTCAAAGTCAGTTGAGAATCAATGTGGGACTCTTTGAAAATGTTCTTTTACTTTTCCACCAAAACACCAACTAAATACACAAAAAGTATGAAAAAAGAGAAAAGTTACCAACACATATAGTCACAGTATACGGGTCTCTCTCATGCGTGTGTGATCTATTGTGTTGTTTTCATCTTTTTCAAAGTTGCCCTCTTAACTTTTCTTTGAGCAGTGCTGGGAACAGAGTGATCTGGTCTGAATTTCACAATAAAAGTCCCGAAACAGCGGGAGGTAAAATGCTGGAGGCTTTACATTTGAAAGGACTCGAGGTTTAAAGAGGAAGAGCAGCTTTAACCAAAGGCTCCGCAGATGAGGGGAGAAGATAACGTCGTCATGGAGATGGAGATGGAGATATAAGAGTCACGCTGCTATTTTGGACTTTTTGGAATATCTTTTAATATCTAGAACATATTATCCGTGGAGATGTTGTTGCTCTGCCTGGGATGTTCCACAGTATGGCATTAAACAGATCCTTCTAGCGTTTTCTTCATAGAACCCAAAATGGTACAGAAAAAAGGTCAACAGTTTCATAAACTAGAGGTACATATGTATCTGTTCAATACATTTTTATATCAGATGCATTGACTGAGCCCAATGGTTTGGTAGGGGTTGTCACCTTCTCCAAAGAAGAAAGAAATACTGACGCTTCAAGGACGATTCAAGGTGTGAACCTGCTCAACATATTATATGCATATTCATATGGATGTCTATAAAATCTGGGTTGAAGTATTCAGAGGCGTTCAGATTGTCTGATGTAAACCCTCTGTAGCTGTAGGCAGTTTGGGACAACGATCTGACCCAGAGCTCTGTATTAGAATTGTATTGTCAGGGGAATACATTTTTGTGATTTAAATTGATTGAGTCTAATCATTTTTGACAGAACACGCCTAACACAGTGGAAATAAGGATTGAGATTGAGAAGTTACGAGTCAGGTGTATGGAGTGGCAAGTTCAAACAGGTGAATGTTTTTGCGTGTGTGATAAAACAAATTCTTGCATTTCAGTCCACTCAAGCTGAACTGAGTAAAACAGCGACTCGAGTGCATGTGCGTGTCAAACGTGCGGTGAGTTTGTGCGCGCTCCTCTTTACCCTGTCCGCCGAGTCCGGGCTGTTTGATGGCAGGTGCAGGTAGGTGGGCTGGTCCTGCTCCAGTCTCACGCACCTGCCTCTGTTCTGACACAGGGAGGCCGAGCACAGTCTGGAGGCGGCCGTCACGTTGGACACGTAAGGACCGAGCACCGAGGAGGTGAAGAGACTCAGATCCTCACACTCTCTCTGAGCAGACACAGAAACAGGACAGTCAGTGTGATACCGCCAGGGTAAAACACGAGGATATGACAGGTGAGACTACTCGATACACAGTGTTGGGAAGGTTACTTTTAAAATGTATTCCCCTACAGATTACAGATTACATACCCCAAAATGTAGTTTGTAACGTAATCCATTAAATTACTTAAAGTGAGTAACGTAATCTGAATACTTTGGATTACTTGATTTGCTGCAGAGAAGCAAAGACGAGGAAATCTTCAGATAAGAAGTTTTGTCTGTTAAAAACAAATAAAAAGCCCAGATTTTACTGAACCAAATTAAAGATATTATTGATAGAAGAAGAGGAGACATGGTCCACGCAGCATGGTTTAGTCCTGTTAAATCCTGTTTTAGACCTGGTTTAAACCTGGTTAAGACCTGGTTTTAGTCCTATTTTAGACCTGGTTTAGTCCTAGTTTAGTCCTGGTTTAGACCTGGTTTAGACCTGGTTTAGATCTGGTTTAGATCTGGTTTAAATCCTAATTTAGACCTGGTTTAGACCTGGTTTAGACCTGGTTTTAGTCCTTTTTAGACATGGTTTAGTCCTGGTTTAGACCTGGTTTTAGTCCTAGTTTAGACCTGGTTTAGTCCTAGTTTAGTCCTGGTTTAGACCTGGTTTAGATCTGGTTTAAATCCTAATTTAGACCTGGTTTAGACCTGGTTTTAGTCCTAGTTTAGACCTGGTTTAGACCTGGTTTAGTCCTAGTTTAGTCCTGGTTTAGACCTGGTTTAGACCTGGTTTAGATCTGGTTTAAATCCTAATTTAGACCTGGTTTAGACCTGGTTTGGACCTGGTTTTAGACCTGGTTTTAGACCTGGTTTTAGACCTGGTTTAGTGTCTGCCAATGAGTGGAATTACCAAAAAAAAAACAAAAAAACAAAAAACAAAAAAGAGAATAGCCCAAAATGTAAAAACCGTAAAATACCGCCATGTAATCCATTTATTTCAACAAAGTAACTGTAATCCAATTACCACTCACTGAAACAGTAACTGTAACTAAATACAGTTACTCATAATTTGTACCCTGATTACATAACTCTTGTACATGTAATCTGTTACTCCCCAACACTGTTGATACACAAAGACACTTAAACGTCCTATATTATTAAAACTGAGCTTTAAATTACACTGTTATATCTGATCTACTTTATGTTATAATGTTGTTTTCTCATCAAAAACTGACCTGGAGTTGTGTTTTTCTTTCATTCACACATTTTCAACACACAAACCCTGCATATTTACCTTATGATGTCATGTGGTAATACATGAATGTGTTTTAAACTACGTACATTTATAACATACATTCATAGAATCATTTAGATGATTTCAGCCCTGGAATTGCCAATCTTTACTAATAATAAAATATATAAAAATAAAACACAACTCCAGGTATGTTTGTGACTAACATGACTTAAAGTTCACAGGAGTCCATTTTGCTTCGTTTAGGACCTTTAAAGTTTTGATGACTTTGTGACGGACATAGAATTTCATAAATACAAAAACACATATCCGTACTTCAGTCTTTGGCTCAGTCTTGTCCCAGATGACGATCCCAGCTGTTCCCAGAGCAGCACTTTCTCCAATGGTTGTCACCAAGTCACTCTGAAAAACAAACAAGGACATTACATTTTACCATTTTATTACATATTCAAGGTCCTGTATTACAAAAAATTTACTCTTTTAATGTTTAGGCCATGTTATAATGCCGTTACCTCATCAAAAACATACCTGGAGTTGTGTTTTGTTTCATTTAAACATGAGTAATTCTTTATTATTATAGTCTGTTTACATCTCCAAAACTCAAAATGCTCTGTTCCACCTTGTGATGTTTCAAGTTTTTCAATAGAGGTTGGCAATCCAAAGTCTGAAATAATCCAAATGATTGTATTAAAGGTGTATGGAGTTCAGAAACACAATGGAGCACTTCCTGTATTACCACATGACATCACAAGGTGGAAAGAGTGTTTTCATTTTGAGTGAAGATCTCAGCCTAAATATGCAGGTTTCATGACCTAAACAAACTCCGGATATGTTTGAGATGAGGAAACAACATTATAACATAGATCAGAAAGTAGTGCTATGATATTGCGTCTTTAATAATATTTTTGTTAAAGTTGTATGATTTACCAGAGATAGGAAAGTGTTGGTGGAGGTGTAGACACTTCGGACCAGTGGGAACACCGGCAGGTCCTCTGAACTTCCTCCTAAAGACGCCACTCTGAGAGCTTCTCGAATCAGATTGGACAGAAACAGAGCGGCTCCTCTAGTCTCGCCCTAAAGAGGAAATACAAGTGGTTATTATTATTATTATACTTCAAACATATTTTTCTATATGGATTAGGTTGAAGAAAACTACATTTTTACATTCAAATTAGTTTATTAGCGATTATTAGTGATAGGCAGACTGATTCTAAAGCTCAGTATATTGACACTAACTGAGATATTAAAAAGTATCAGTTCTCATGTAAAAATACCAATACTTAAATTTTCTCAAAAATAAATAAATAAATAAAATAAATAAATAATAAAATAAATAATATGTTTTAGATCAGTTCAATCTGTGGTCGAACAAGGTAAAATTCTTGCTGGAGTTTCTATGCATTTTAATACAAAACACACTTGACATATTGGATTGATTTCACTGTTGTAGAGCAGAGTATGGAAAATAATTTGTACCATCAGATTTTGAATTTTTTATAATATATAACTTAAAAAAATATATATTTCACTCTAAAAAAAAACGTAATTATTTTTGTTCTAAATTTTAGTTGCTGAAATTAAGTATACTTTTTTCAATATATTTCAAATTCTAAATAAAAATGTCACCTTTTAAATGTTCAGCACAGATATTTTCAAGCCCTCAGATTCAAAAGTTAAAATTCAGATAGTGTAAAATTTGCAGTGAAAAATTTCACAACAAAGACCCAAGATGCCAAGGCAGAAGTAATCGATCCTGTGTGAGTGAGCAGGACAGAGGCTCTTTCCTATTGGCTGTTCTCATCTGTGGGCGGAGTTTACACTTAACAAATAAAAAAGATGGGGTTTTGATGAGACTTATTCTGGCCAATCAGATCGCTTCACTGCACCAGTTACTAACCCTGTGTTCGATTAGCCTTGAAAATAGTTTTCCGAGGAAGTTGCCTAGTGACACACGTGACACGCCCCTTTTCCTGGGATGGCGTGAGTTGGACTTTGGTGGTGGAAAAAGTAGAGCAAGGATTCCGAGTCAGAATCCCAGAAGGCTGCGCCCACTATGACGTGTAAATCTGAACTGTTTTCATTGTGTTTGGACACTTTGATGGTTTAAATGACAATTTCAATCACTTGTATCACTGCAATACTTTACAGCGTCCGCATCACCGCCTATGGGTTTGGTAGTCGGTTTTGTGATGAAGCCAATATTGAACAAATACTTGATTTAACGAGCCATTAACATCCCTAAGGTTGTCACGGAAGAGAAATCCTAATATAAATAAAGTGCAAATTTCAAAAAACTAAATCAATTAAAGTGTCAGCATTTTCATAAGATGAGGGAATAATCATAATCATAATCATAATAAATCATAATCATAATAAGATAAATCAATAATAAATAAATAAATCATAATCACAAGAAGATGAGAGAATAGTCATAATCATAGTACGACACGAAACATAATAATACGCTTCAAGCTCGGGCATCAAATCTGAGGTCCAAGTGAGAGTCAGAAGATAATCAAACACAGAGTATGTTAGATCGGATCACTTTGGATCGATTGCTTTGGCCTTGGCATCTTGGATCTTTCCTGCAAATTTTTTTTCACTGCGAATTTTACACTCTCAATTTTGACTGTTGAATTTGAGGGCTTGAATATATTTGTAATGAATATTTAAAAGGTGAATTTTAAAATTTTGAATTTTAAACACTTTGAAAATGTACACTTAAAGTTTCAACATTTAAAATTAAAAATAATTCAAGCATGTTTTTTCAGAGTTAAAACATCACAAGTGAGAAATTCAACTACATTTAAAATTTAAAATCTGATGAAACAAAGAGTCCAGTTCCACACCTGTATCTTCTCCAGGGTGAGCAGAGGGTAGATGGCGTTGCTCCTCCTCCACAGCCACAGCAGCTGGTCGTTCAGGCTCCTCTCCTCTTCTGGACACTCCCCCGTGTAGTTGGACAGCGCCGTCTGAGCTGGAGAACCATTAGAACAGCTGGGGTACGGACACATCCCCCACAATGCTTTGGGGCGTGACCTTTGCACCTCCCTCAGAGTTTCTGTAATTACAGACTGAGCGGCAGCCTCAAAGTCCACCTGAGGAACAGAGAAGAGAGGCCAGATGAGGACAGGTCATTAACACTGGAGAGACAGGAGCTATTTTCTGTTGCTGGGCTTGTGGGTAAAAAACGTGGTGGCTGGGTTTCACAACATTTTTAAAGATGCATTGTGTAACTTTTCTGGTGGAGGGTCCGTCAAATGTTTTTCTTCATGGAGATGTTATAGACTCTTTTAGGGCGTTGATGTGATAAACAGAAGTGGCATTGTTCCCCATTCAATACGATTGATTTAGACTGAACACGGACAGAAGACGGAAATACAAAACATTTCCAGCACCAAAATGTCTGGTTGTTGCTTGTTTCGTTGTCAGAATCGATATTCTAATGGCGGACTAAAGTTTAACAGAATTCTGAGAGGTTCGTGACCATTTCAGAGTAACCGGCGGAGTCTGTTTGCCAGGCTGGTGCCACCTAGTTCCTCCGCTCAATTTCATTTCTCTCCAGCCCAGCGAGTAGGTCAGGAATTGGAATACACTAGATGGTTCGCAAAAACCCCAGAAGTGTGAGTCCAGGAACCAGCCAATCAGCGAAGAGTCTCTCAAATCATGATAAACCTCAGGGCTGCAGGGAACGTTCGTGTTTTATAAGAGTAGGATCAAGACCCACCTTTTCAGCTTAGCTTTTGATTGAAATCTTATACTTTTACTAGTTTCTATTGTACACATTTTATTATATTCATTTATTTTAGGCATATTTTTAGGATTTCCAGTGTTTCCTCGGTAGGAGCCTCTACATCAGGAGCGGAGGTCGGCTGCGGCTGCCGGGTCTGTCCCTTGGTGTCCTGGTGGAAGGGTGATGCTTTGGCTTCATCTCTCCCCTGGGCCCTGTGGCTCCTCTGATGGTACTTTCTGTATTCAGCTTCACATTTTACCACATTTTACTATATGTGGTTTTATGTATCTCAGCATGTTAGTGTGTGTGTTTGGGTTGTTTGGTTGTGTGGGGTTGGGCAGCTGTGGGTGTTGGGTTGGTGGGTGGGCGGTGGAAATATGGGACTGTAAAGTACTTTGTGTTACATTCTTGTATGAAAAGCGCTTTATAAATAAAGTTCATTTGATTGATTTATAAAACTTTCTTAATTCAAGTCAACTCAACTTAACTAGATGGCGTTCTTTGCAGTGTATGGGTGGATTTATAGCTCAAAAATACCTAGAAAAAAAGGCTGACACAAATATACACAAATATAACCTGTAACTTGGTCTGGTTTGGTCTCCATGAAGATAGAAATGTTTAACGCCATACTATGAAACATTCCAGACGAAGCAATAACGTCTCCATGAAGAAAAACATTTGACCGACCTTCCACCAGAAAAGTTACACAATGCACCTTTAAATTTCAGCAACCTATGAAAAAACTGTAGAAATATCCTAGGCCTCACCTTGGACCACCTCTCCAGCTCCTGCTTCGTCCAATCTGGGAAGAACCTCCGGAGCTGCTTCTTGGTGGCGTTCTGGTACAGCCCCTGTTTACCTCCTCTCCTGCTCCACTGCGGGGCCCACTCCTGCCAGCGCACCACCCCCAGACCCAGGTACCTCGGGGCGGGCAGGGCTGTCTCCACGTCCCCCTGTGTCTTCCGGATGTGGAGGTCCAGTTTGGTGTGCTGTGGTAGTCCCCCGTTTACCGCGTTGTCCTTATCCACAAAATAAGGATAGTTCCCCAACGTGTCCTCGTAGAAAACCGCTACTCGGCCCTCTGGCTCTATCCCAAATGATCTGAAGTCAGGACGGTTGGCGCAAGAGGAGTCTTTGATCCCCCAGAAGACGATAAAGGGTTGTCCAGACAGCAAAGGGGGGCGGGCAGGTCTGGGTGGTCCCGCGTGGGTTAGATTAGCAAAAGAAGCCAAGAAGAACAGCAAAAGAAGTGACAAGAAAGGCTGGAGATGTGAACTTAAACATCTAAATAAAGTATGAGATCGAAGAGTTCTAGACTTTCGTTCTTGAAGTGTTGGTTGATCTAGTTCTTGTTCAAACGTCGAACTGAATTGTAATCCTGGTTTTGCAACGAATTTAGGATCTACTTCTAGACTACTACTAGTTTTGGAACCATTTTCTGACTCTACAGGTTCTGGTATCTTTCTTCTGAGTTCTTGATAGCAATAGGGACTGGTTTCAAATTGTGGACTAAGTGCTAATACTGATGTTTCGTGGTCAGTTGTTAAAAGTCTTGGACCTGGTTTTGCCTTGAGTTCTTCACAAACATTCAATCCATGTTTTTGAGCTAAAGATCGAAAGTTGGTGGGGCGCTGTTGCCAGTGTTGTCCCTGGGTTCTGGACCTTCGTTTTTGTTGCAATCCCGGTCTTAAATCCACGTTTGGTCCTTTTATTTGTTGAATTTCTAGTCTTGATTCCAGACATGGTTGCCAGATACGTTTAGTATAATGTGTTAACTGGAGATGTAGTCCTGATGTTACTCTTGATCCCATTTCAAGAGTTTTTTGAGAAAGTTTTTCTTTTCTTGGCCCTTTTTCTAGACATTGCCATGGTTTCGTCTCTGGTTTTGGTCTTGGATTTGGCCCATGGTTTAATCCCGGTCCTGGTTCTGACTCAGTCCCGGGCGACGCCATTGGAGCAGCTTCTGGCTCCTCAGCCCTCACAGCCAATCATCTTCCTGCAATAAAAACAGGTACATGTGCTTTAGATACTTTGCAGTGACATCGTGCTGGGGGTGTTTTACATGTATCTCTAATGAGGGAATGTTTAGGAGCTCTCATGGTGACACAATACACACATTAGCGAACACTGTCAAAAAAGATTTAAGATTGTCTGAAAACTCACGAAAAAATCAATCAGGTTTATTTGATTTTCAACAAAAACGGTGAGTGTGAGTAATTGAAAAACTTTTGGCTGAGTTTGTGACTGTCATTTTTTTTTTTAAACTTGACTGCAAATTTGTCTGATCTGGCCAAGATTTTAAAACTTATATCAGGTTATTCATCTTGTTTTCAGATTTATTATCTACTTACAGTACTAGACCAGAGCCTGACTGAGGAACTGATGTCAAAAAGATCAGATATTTATCGGTTTTAGGAGCACATATCCAAGTGGCCTGGGTCACAGTTGAAAAAAAAATCGGGTCTATGTCGTTTAGACTTCATTAAAAGATCAGATACAGGTCGCATAGGGGCGAAAAAATCAGATTTGGGTCACTCCAGGCTTCAGTCCGAGCCTAATTCTAGTCTAGAGGTTGTTTATTTTAAGATAACTTGTCAAGTAAAATGATCTTGCTGCATGGACAGATAATTTCACTACTTTTACATAATTTTCTGATACATTTAAGTGTTTATATCTTAAATTTTGGCCAAGCTTTTCTGCAGTGTTGTTGTAGTTCTGGCTAAATCAGTTCTTTCTGGTCAGAATTCTTTAAAGTCTAACAAAACCTCAGACAGAGCCGTACCTACTGTTAGCATCACACCCCCAAGGAATGTTGATGGCATCAGCTGCGGTTTACATTCACGGCTTTGTGTATAGCACTGAGCAGAACTTTTGGTAGTTTGGTGGTGGTTTGTTCCCAGCTCGCACCACCACATAGTTACTTTCATGTGCGTCTGTTTGTCCTTGTGTCCTTGGGCAAGACACTTCACCCACCTGTGTGAGTGAATTGTTAGAAAGGCAGTAGGTTGTGAAAGGAGCGCCCACTAGAGGTGCTGTGAGTTAATGCATGCTTTAGTTCAGAGCGCACCGCACCGCTGTCTTAATTAGTTCAGGAGGCTCGGGCGTGCAGACACGTATCGTCAGCTAAGTTGTGCGTTTTTGACAAAAAGTAAGTTTATGGTATTCGGGGCTGTGTGGATGTTTTATAAGTCCTTTGTTATTGTTTTACTCGTGTCAGGACGTGTTCATGTTCCTGTAATACCTGTGTAGTTACGTTTATAAGGGAGTTATCTTAGCTTAGCCAGTGTTGGGGAGTAACAGATTACATGTACCAGAGTTACGTAATCAGAGTACAAATTATGAGTAACTGTATTCAGTTACAGTTACTGTTTCAATGAGTGGTAATTGGATTACAGTTACTTTGTTGAAATAAGTGGATTACACAGAGGTATTTTCTTGTTTTTACATTTTGGGCTAAATCCCCCCCTTTTTTTTACATAATTCCACTCATTGCCAGACACTAAACCAGGACTAAACCAGGTCTAAACCAGGACTAAACCAGGTCTAAACCAGGACTAAAAACAGGTTTAAAACAGGTCTAAAACAGGACTTAACAGCACTAAATCATGCTGCACGGACCTTATTTCCTCTTCTATCAATAATATTTTTAATACAGTTAAGGAAAGTCTGGGCTTGTCATTGTCTTTTATCAGACAAAACATCTTATGTGAAGATTTCCTCGTCTTTGCTTCTCTACAGCAAATCAAGTAATCCAAAGTATTCAGATTACATTACTCACTTTAAGTAATTTAATGGATTACGTTACAAACTACATTTTGGTGTGTGTAATCTGTAATCTGTAGGGGAATACATTTTAAAAGTAACACTCCCAACACTGAGTTTATCTTATTTTAGACGCTAATGCTATTTTCGTGTGTCGTGCCGTGTATGTTCCTTATATTATGTCTTTATTGTGTGCTTTTTATTTAGCCCATCCATGTTTACTATTTACGTTGGTTATATGTTGAGCAGTACACCTGTACACCTTTATCACTGTAATCTGTAGTATAAGCGAGTTTCAGCTGACGTCATTGTTATTAAAAGCCCGCGTTGCATGCTGGGAAATATTTTGGTCGGAGGCAAGAAACAGGATAGCGTCAAACACAGTGCGTAACCTCGCGTATTTATCCCCGATAATGGTAAATTCCTGCTGCATTATCAGATGCACAAATAGAAGCACGGAAGAAGGAAAATGTCTTTTTCGTATTCTGAGTGAAAAGAACCACTAACGGCGAAGTAAACATTCACAGAGCAAACATAGAAGATCCTAACAAACCGTGGACTCAAACAAGTTCAACAACACATCGAGACTCTTGGAGGTTTTCATCTTTTCTGCTGTGAATGGCCCAGGAGTTTCCACCAAGTCATTGTGGATATCGCCCAAGTGAATATTTGTCCAGGTAGTTGGCGATTCTGACCAGAAATTTGGTTTGGTCCAGGCTTTGTAGGGGTTGAAAAGGGTGATTTGGCGTCCATCGATGCTTTTAACCAATTTCAGGTCAAAGAAAGTGGATAGAGTGGATAAATAACCGGGATCAATACCCTTTACGTGCTTTCTCGCTCCGTCCGTCATGTTGAATTAGTGTTTCTTGCCACCGACCAAAATAATTCCCAGCATGCAACGCGCGATTTTGTCAACAATGAAACTCGCCTATAGTAACTTAATTTGTTTATTCTTTTTCTTTATAGACCACACATACAAACAATAATGTTCTGCGATGTTGCCTGAGCTTCATTAAACCTCCTAAATTCACCATCTGCATCCTGTCTCCTGTGTCCTGACCGGCGCTCCAGGGCGAATATCACAATCCGAGCTAACACCTATACAGTCTTTAAACCTGAGTGATAGTACTCTTCAATAGATTATGTAAAGTGTTTGCAGTACCTCATGTAGATTTGGTTGAAAAGCTCTTCATGAGTGGGGCCTATTTTTGGGACCTTTTAATACCAGTAGTAGGTAACAGTAATAGTAGTTTTTTTTGTTTAGTTTTGCTTCTCAACTCAACAACTGGCATTTTATAAAACAACTCTCAGCTTCTCTTAAAGGTTAAAAACTAAAAACGTGTCGCATTCTATTGATTTGAACAACATTTCACCGAGATGAGTCACTTCGTTCCTGGGAGTCCAATTTGAGGGACAGGCCATTAACACCGAGAAGACAGATTCTATTTTCTATCACTGAATGGATGAAAAACACAGTGGCTGGGTTTTCACAACCTATTTACTGAATGGCATTGGCTATTGTATTTGATGTAAGGATGCGCTTTAAACCTTGGTGTCAAATTCCTATACATTTTCTGTTTTCAGGTAAAGAAAACCAATTAAATTTCATTTTCCTGATGCAACCACTGATGTTTTCACCGGTATTGACCAAGCAGACAGAGTTGGCTCAAGGCTGAGGCAGACGCAGTTTAAAAGAACGTCTGTAAAATTTAGTTTTTAAATTCCATAAATATGAAATATCTGAGTCTCCATATACTACGAGGTAAACATGTTCAAATCAAATATAGCTTTTACAATAATTTTACAGTAGTTGTTTGTGTCATAATTTAGTGTTTTGGTTCTTGCAGAGTCTCACACGAGTCTCTCATTTTGCTTGTTGGTTTAAATCTAAAATGCCTCTGTTTGATGTGAATGGCCACTACCTAAACCCCAACACCTACAGCCAGTCCTGAATCAGTGCTAGTGCAGCCTCTGCAGCTCTGGGAAGGGATTCTGGAGGTTCTGAGCTTTCACATCAGCCATGGCCTGTCCATTTTGCCTCATCATCCAGTCCCTTCTAGCCAGGCTGACGCCACCTAGTGCCTCCATTTAATTTCTCACCAGCGTCAGGAATCGGAATAGACAATTCGCAAAAACCCCGGAAGTGTGAGTTCGGGCATCAGCCAATTCGCGAAGATCCATACATTCTGTGTTGGCAACGACTCTAGAGATCGAGGATGTAAAGCCAGAAAACAAAAAGAATGTTTGGTGAATTTTATCAAGGGGAAAGACGTTATTGCCCTTCTTCCTACAGGATTTAGGAAAAACTTAATATACCAGTTAGCCTCGTTAACAGCGCATTACATACATCATGACCAAATAGCAGTGATTGGTTAAATGAAAAAGAATATCCGCCTACTGCCGAGCGAACAAATCCTAATGCTGCGAGGTCAGACGGTTTCTATGAAGTGAAACCGGCTGATGAATCAGGTTAAGTCTCTTCTACATTCTGTTTGATCTAGAAGGGTCTGGAACCGGACCATAGAGCGTGAAAAACCTCCATCCAAACTTGAGATGATCCAACTACAGCTGTTCATTTGTATCACGTGTTTCTCAAATGCGGAAAACATCTCCTCTCCAAAATTCTTGTAACATTCAGATCAAAATATATAACTTCTTTTAACTGGAATAAGTAACAGTTTGATTGTGGATTCTGTAAAAATCCATGTTGTTTCTCACTCCTTAATGCTGTTTTCCCACTATTTTACATAAGAATGAGAACTTCACACATCAATTTCTTAAAACGGGTGCGTTGGAGAGGAGAGGGAGCAGCCTAAGAACACAGAGAAAAATCCCACACACCGTCTCACTTGCACAATGTGAGATTTATTAGGATCTACTACAGTGTCCAGCCTGTTTGCCTAATGAAGGCCTAATGCCGAAACGTTGTAGAAGGTTCTAATAAATCTCACATTTTGCAATTAAGACGGTGTGCAGGATTT